CCACAACAAAACAAAACATTATGACAAACAGTCTTTGAGAAGGACAGGCTACTCCTGATTGGACTGGAGAAATTACAGACAGAAAATGATAACCTTGGTTCTTTAAATTATCAGGTAAAGGTATAGGTCAGGAAAGAGTGTGATCTGTGATTATGCTAAAGGAGTGCTGTATGTTTTATAGTCTTGGAAGCAGTGTATATGAAAACAAAACTTCAGTTTGAAGTTCTGCATGGCAAAGTTACTACTCAAGTTAACCTCTTTGTTTTATTAGGTCTTTTATTTAAAAGCTAACATGTCGACTGGGAAAGTAAAGAACCATGACAACTGGAGTGCCAGGTATGGTGGCTCACATGTAATTCTGGATGCTCAGGAGGCAGAAATTTCAGAGGATTATGGTTGGAGACGAGACTCCATCTCAACCAATAGGATGCCATAGTGTGTGCCTATCACTGTAGCTACATGGGAAGCCTAAGTAGAAGAACTGCTGTCCAGATCACCTGGAAATAAGCTGGGGTTGTGGATCAAGTGGTAGAGTGGTAGAGTAACTACCTAGCAAGTTTGCTATGAGTTCAAACCCCAGTACTACAAAAGAAAAAAAAAAAAAGAATTGGAACATGGGCCATGAAAAATCTAAATTCCACTGAGTCGCCCTTGGTATCAGAAGCAATATTTCTCCTTGTCATTGAAAAAGCAAGTTTCCATTTTTTCAGTCACTTACAATGACACTCATGATGGGAGGGGAGGGAAGGCTGAGTGTCCTCTAGACCAGCCTTTAGTATACATCACTGCCATCAGACCAGGCAGCAGAGTTAATTCCAGATTTAAGGAGTACAAGTAGAAATTCTGACCTTAGAAAACAGAACATATACACTGAAATTCACCAAGAAATTTTAAAGACTCCTTAGCAAATGTCATCTAAGACAACTGAATCTTAATCACAAAAATATAGCAAAATAGAAAAATAAGCAGATAGGCAAAAATTCAAAGAAACATTGTTTCCTAATACTGATAAAATTAAACATACTACTAGCAAAATGGGAACACAGTCTGGTTTGACTAACTATATTGTACTGCATACATCAATATTAACAGTCTTCCTTCCTTCCTTTCTTCCTTTCTTCCATCTCTCCTTCCTTCCTTCCTTCCTTCCCTCCCTCCCTCCCACTTGCTTGCTTTCTATTTTGGTGTTGGTAATGGGGTTTGAATTCAGGGCCTCAAACTTGCTAGGCAGAGCTCTACCACTTGAGTGACTCCCTAGTCTTTTTTTCACTTTAACTATTTTTATATAGCTAAAGTGTTTTTGCCTGGGCCAGCCTCAGATGGCAATCCTTCTGCTTATGGCCTCCTTGTATCTGGGGGTCACAGGCACAAGCCACTCAGCCCAGCTATGGCCACGCAGTCATAATATTCAAATGGTTACCTAAAGATTCAAGAACAATGAGTCACTCACTCTTGCACATATAGTTTGTGATTTTTCCCATCAAATTAAAACAGCTGCCCCAAATTAAATATATCAAACACAAATTGTCCAAATAGTAAACTGCATTAAATCTCAGATTCAGAGAATACGAAAAATGAATAGAATCTTGGAGAATTTAGTCTTGCATATATATAAGGCCAGAGGCCAAGAAAGATTTCAGCAATTGTAGAAGGAAGGCCTAGTATTAATTAGAAGTAGAACTGAGAATTATTTCTTCCCTCTTATGCTATTGCCTCAAGTTTCCTAAAATACTTCTGCTATTATTTTGTGAAATGGATTATATAGAACAGTAGAAATGTAGAGCTTGCAAAAATATAATCACTTCTGTTTTAAAAATATATTTATGACTGGTACACATGATCCAAGAAGAGAAGGGTTTAACTTGATTTACCCCAAGTTTCACTATCAATTCAAACATTAAAACTGAAGCACTACTGAGGAGCTGGAGGTAACAGGATCAGGAGTTTGCAGCCAACCTGAGCATTTAGCAACAGAACTGGTAGTGTAGCTCAAGTAGGGTAAGTGTGAGGAGCTAGGGTCAATGCCTAGTACCTCAAGAAAATAAAAGAAAGATGAAGATAAAATTGAAGCTAGTTTATTAGTTGTATGAAAGGTCAATTTTATGTTTGTATGTAGTCTATTGAAAAGAATGGTTTAAGACAATTATTTTAAGAAACAACTACAAAATTGAGCCATTTAAGCATCAGACTAAACTCCAAAAATTAATTAAGAATTAGATAAAAATGTATTCAAGAACCTCAGAGCGAGGAAAGGTGTAATTATTAAGTATGGAATTTTTCTCTAGAGATTGTTACAGTTTATCTAACGGGTTAAATGGCTACCAGAAGCAAACTTTTCTGAAAACATTTCCAAAGTCCCTGCCTTCTTAGGACTGTATGTTTGATATGAAATTGAAAATATACATTGCCATATAACATACTACCAAAGACATGAAGTATTGTTGAATTTATATTTAGATATTTTATAAGTAAAATGTGTATATATAAATGGACCCGGAAATCTACTACTTTCTTATGGTTTATATAGTTATGTAAATATTTGTTTGCAGCATGTATGTTATAATGTGTATAATGTCAGCACTTATAAATAATGTTGCCTCAGCCTTATTCCCAAAAGAGCTTCTAAGATGGGCTGTAAGAATACACAGAACTGCAGAATACTACAAAATTTAAGTAGATAATAGGCCAAGAAGAAGCTGCTATTGCACCATTATTTCTATGAGGAACATGAGGGATAAAGTCTGAGCTCAGAAGAAAAAAAGTAAAAGCGGAAAGAAAGCAGAGACTGAAGGAAGGGGAGGAAGAAGGCAAGAAGGAAGGAAAATATATGAAAAGCACACTATTTGCCATTTGGAATTGCCTGTACTTGTAACCCTGGGTCTGTTTGCAAATGATCAACTTTCATTTGTCAAATTAGAAATATCCATGGTTAATGTAAAAACAATTAATAGATTTTCCAACCAAGGTAAGTGCTGACAACCCAGATTAGCTCTTTCAACAACTTGTAAACCAGGACTCCCCAGAGCCTTTTAGACAGGAAGCTTATTAATATCAGCTCAGTGACCACTCAGCACCATGACATGAAGTGTCTGTTCAGAGGTCATCACCAAAATGTACCCCATACATCTTCATGCACAAGAGATAATAATTTATCACCTAGACATAGAGATCTACTGTAAACTAATCCAAACTGCTGATGATACACTAAATCAGTTTGAGTGATGAGTATAAATAAAGCTGCAAGAGAAGTACTCAAGGGTACAGATCTATCTGATCAATGAGATGTCACGAGGCAAATGAAATGCAATGTTGACAAACATAGAGTCCCCTCAATTGAAAATTAACCAAATCAAGTATCAGAGCATAAAAGCATACCTTAACGCAAGTTTCAAAGATGGTTTAGTATTATGGGAGTCAGAGAATAAATTCTGTTTCAGATAAAACTGAACAGGTTGGGTCAGTAGAAAAAGATGTACTGAAATTATATATTTTGCATGCCATAGGAAGTACAATGGGATAAGAAAAATGTTGCAAAACAATAATCCTTTCCAAATAATATAACTAAAGTTATTCAATTTGTTGAGCAAATCCATGCACACAGATGAAGCAAAACAATACCAAATGTATACAGAAAATGGTTTCACATCAACCTGCTACCAGGAAGTCAAATTCAGTTTGTACTGCCCTTATGAGAGCTTAAATATTTTTTTAACTGTCATGCTACAACATAGATGAGGAAAAACAAAGGAATGGGGATAAGGAAAGACATTCCTCCAGATAGTTGATATTCATGGAGGGCACTCCTTGTGGAAAAAAAAAGAAAAAAGGTTTTCCCAACTATGCGATCAGAATAGAGATGCTAGCATTTGGCAAATAGGTTCAAAGGAGTCAGCTCTTCTGAAGGTGCCCCTAACGGAAAGAGCTGATTAAAATAAATTTCAACTCTTGCCAAAACAAATCTGTTAAAAAAATATTTTCTAAGAGAAATAACTTTTCAAGAAATTCAGGTATTTTTCTTTGTTGGATTAAGTACATGTAGTTTGTCATAACAAACAACTCTTGCTTTATTATCAAGTTTATCTTCAGTTTTATCTTTCAGCTTATTTTGGGTAAAGATAAAATTATACTACTAAAATATGACCTGATCCCAGATGTAGTTTATTTAAATTTCAAAATGAAAAGCTTACTAAGAACAGATAAGATTGATTGCTCTCTCTGTCTTAGCATAATTGTATTTCAGGTGAACATCAATTTACTTTAAAGGACACTTCTAAGTAGCAGAATGCATCATAAATAATTCATCAATCACAGCTAGTAGGAACATGATTTACTCCAGTAGATTCAATGAACTAAAAGTTCCATTTTCTATAATTATATCCATTTCAAAAAAATTTAATAATTTTCCTTTTCTAAGAAAAGAAAAGGAAAAGAGTAGATTCCATGTTACTCTAAATGCAATATGAAAAACTACTGTTTTTTTCTACTTAAAAATCATTTAATTTTTTAATTTAAATAAAAATATTTAATTTTCATTAGACAAGTAACAATTCATATATACCAACAGGAAAAAAACAGCACTATAAGTAAATACCTGTTAAATCACCGAAAATCTTGGGGCTATTTGTAATTCTAGTAAGACCAATGCAATTTGTTTTCATATTATATAAACTTTTAAATGGAAGAAAAAGATGCCAACCATTCTGCAAGTCTTACATAGATTATCTGACATATGTGAAAATTATGTCAATTTTATAAAGCAAATTAAGCAGAATCTAAATTGTATTCAAACTATTATTCAAGTTTTGCCAGTTGATACAGTGAATTTTCTAGCTTCAACCTTCTTTTGTCAGACAGAAAAATGATACTTAACTTCACACATCTTAAAGTTTTCCATAAACTCATCAATTGTGTGTTAGTAATTTCTCATGTTGTGAAATATTCTAAAACTAAATATATTGACAAGGAAAATGTAGGAAAAAATTAGAAAGCATTCTACTTACTTGTAAACCCCTCTGAAAAACTGAATGGCCCATAAAATTAGCCAGCATTCTTATTAAAGCAGCACCCTACAAGAAAGAGTATCAAAGTGAAAATAAATTCAACCAAAAACTTTGCATCATTCATGCTCTTCTATTTTTAATTTTTAATGGAAAAACTGTAAAAGAATATCCCACTTTTAGATAAAAATTGCAATCTTTTGTGGATCTAAAATTTTGTAGGTGTAAAATTTACAATTGAAAAATGGAAATTTTCCAGACAAAATATATCAAACAATAAGCTGGAATTCAGGAGTAATTAACATTTTATTGAACACTGTATATGAAAAAAGTTAATAAACATGTTCTTATAGTCTGGTAAAGGAAGGATGCCCATATTAATAAATATCCATATTAACATACAGCCCTAGAGTAACATAGGAACTTACTATACTCCTAACTCAACCAAGAATACTTGTAGAAGTAGAATAGAGAGGAACAACCAGTCAGATTTGCCTAGGTTCAAATCATGGCTTTGCTTCTTATTATGCTCATTCATGAAAGTTATGCAACCCCTCCTTTTTCCCATTTTTTTCTCTTGCAATGGATAAATAATAATAGTCCCATTTACACAAATTAATATATGCAAAACAGTTCAAAGTGGTGTGAAAAATAAGAAGTACTATAGGAATGTGACCTATCAGTGTTATTTCAATCTGGCTAGTTATTTTTATATCTTGTCTATTTCTTCTTAAAAGCTGGATTTAGTCTTATATGCCATTATGTAAATAAAATATATGTGATAAATATAAATGTTTAGAGTAAGAAAATAAATGCTAACTTAATAGAGTCAATCTAACCTTGAGAACCATTATTATAATACTATAGAACAATAACAGTACAAACATGTAGGCATGCAATCAATTCAAAACATTCCAAGTAATGATAGTTAAGCCTGAATGATCACCACAAATTTGTGTGTAAAATATAAACAAGCCTCCAAGAAGATACTTCAATTTACAACAAGTTGTTTCAGCTATGGGGCAGTGGTCATAAATAGTGAATCTTTAAACATAAATGATAACCTGGTTTGGGGAGAGTTCCTTTATGATTCTATGTTCCACTTCACACTCATTATAAATGCTCACATTGCAGCAATACTTCTTGCAATATTTCTCATTTTACTTTTTTACAAACATGTATTAATTGTACATGTTAATTGATTCTATGTGATATTGCAATACATGCATACAAGATATATTGATCAAAGATGTTTCTTTTCAAGAGAATCATGTGACTCACATACAGGCACTCCCATAAGATTGTCATCCAGCCTGGCAATGTACTTTTTTCAGTCAATCCAGAAAAACAACAGTGATTTCCCATTGTGTGTTATTAAAACTATTTCCTATAATTTCAGGACTCTAATGCACTATAACACTGAGACTGCATGAATCAGGAAATACTAAATCAATGTCTCTAAACATTTCAATCCCTACCAAACTTGCTCCTCAAATAGGTATTTTATTTTCATCTCAACAAATGATAAGCTGGAAAACCATACAGCTTTATGCCTCTCCAGATATGTTTTCCTCTCAAACCTTCTATTTTTTAGTCTCTTTTTCTTCTTTCTCTTCATCTTCTGCACACTTGTGCAAGTCCATAAAACATAAGCATTTATAATTCAATCTGGGGACCAGGTTAGAATTCCCTCTAGAACTTATCAGCTCTGCTCCTTAAATTTCGTTGACAATTTCTCCTCCTATACATTTTCCAATCTGATCTGCTCACCCTGAGGGTGAAAACTGTCAGTTTTTCAGCAAGGACTAACCCTTTCCACCTGGGGAGTGAACTTAGAATCTCAAGCAATGAACTCAAATTTTCCTTCAGAATGGAATAGCTATCTTCTGAGGATTTAAGTGTTTCCCTCTAGGTAATGATGACTGGTTCTCTTGTCAGGCTATAAAAACTATCTATTTCGCATGGTCTAATGACAAAAGAATGCTTTTGAATCATAAAGAATGGACTGATTTTCTGGTCTGGGTTAAGCTGGAGCACAGTGCTACAAGGAAATAAAACCTAGAAATAAAATCAATATTCAAAAGTTACATAACATCACTGAACTCCTTATTTTGCTATATTGTGTAATTCAGCTAACTTTTAGAAAATTTGTCACTTGAAATTTTTAATGTTCTCTGGAGCAGCATGCATTCTATATTTAGCCTTTTCTTACCAAGCTAGTTTTTAAAACCTGATTTTATAGGAGTTCATAAACAGATGGGCATGCCAACTGTCATCATTTAGCCAATGCATACTAGGCACCTACAATAGATGGCATGCATCAAAAAGCACTCCTTGTAATGAAGTCATAATTCATTATCAATGCTTTTTTAAGGAAAACACTTAATCCCCATTCATCATGTCTTTAAAACATTTGTTCATCAAGCTAACATATGCTTACCATATCATAACCTGTACTCATTTCTGATTCAGAATTCCAACCCCAAGCAAACAAACTGGACACTTAGGCAGCCTGAGTAGCTCTATGGAAAGTAATTATATTATTTCTACAAGACATTTTAAATTTTGAGAATAGTTCATGAAAACCCTTCACAGTGTTTGTTTAACTAAGGTTCAGAAGGAAGATGCTAAGATAAATAACTGATTTAAGGTTTCAGAAAGAATATTTCACAAAGGTATACTTACAAATCCATCTTATTTAGCAATTTCTCTTTTCCATATAAGGTGCTACCAATTTTTTTATGTTACATTGAAATAATTGGTGTGCACACCAGAGTCAGAGAAAGCAAATGCCTGCAGAGAAAAGTAATGTCCTCATATTTGGTATCACCTCTTCCTGTGCCTGGCTTAAGAGGACGGGATCCCTTAATGCAAAAAGTGGATGAAAGAAATTATCTACACACAGAGCAATGACTTTGTTTTCTCAACAACCAGCTATTCATTCAAGAAATACAATTTATTCCTTCATTGTTGTACTTTAGTGATAAGTAATTAGTTTTAAAGAAACAGAGATCTTCTCAACTAAATTATTTCTTTCCATATGTTTATTGAGTTTGGTGGTGTTTTCAGTATCCTGCACAATACAAATAAGAATGACACAGTCTCCATTCTCAAAAATTCAAAACCTCTTAAGTGAGAAGAGATTCAAAGCAATATAAGATGACTGATGAAAGAACGTATTCTACTGTGTTCCAGATTCAGGAGAAGTTATAACTAGAGGGATGTGGGTATCTAAGGAAATGGTATTTGTGTGAGTTTGAAGGCTGGACAGATAATCAGAAAGCAGCTGTATGAAACAGCAGGACTGGTGTTTTCACGGTTTATTCATGTGCAGGTGAAAATCACCAAGCAGGAAACATGATACAGAAGAACTCAGGCATGAAATCACATAATCTTAGACTGGATGGTAAATACCATTGAGTAAATTTTTACACAAGTTTGAATTCCAGGACTAAGGAATTTGGAAAAGTGATTAAAATTAGAAAGTCAGGATTTAACTATGTACTTCAGGAAGGAAGAACAACCAGAAACAAATGAAACTAATGAGGATAAAAACCAGAGTTAGGCTTAACAAATGTGACAAAGTTAAGTTTGAAATTTAAAGCTTAAGTGAGTAAAAGATATCTTTACAGATACAAAGAATTTAGAAGAGATTAGGTGAATATAGTAGTATTTGAAACAATGTGGGTTTTGAGGAATTGGTAGAGAACCAGAGAGATAGAGGGAAAATGTAGTAATAGGAATAAAATTCTGGAGAAGGTTATAATTGAAGACATAAATGGGGTTTGAAGTGGGTGAGATTGCCAAGGGAAAAGTGTTGAGGCTTTAGTGAAGAAAACAGAAAAGAGAATCTTAGGACATTTCTACAGATTCTGTATGACTTGCTGTTAATTCTCATGATGGGCATTCAATAAATATCAGAGGAAAAAATCAATGAAGAAATGAAATTAAGAGCAAAAGAGGAAGATGACATATTGAGATGAAAAGCAGGGGCAAACTGGGCATAAGTAATATCATGGAAGACGTGTTTAGAATTAGTACTTCAGATTTCAAGGAGAATAACAGCCAAAAGAAGAGCATAGTAAGTCACATTTAAAAGAGAGCTATTTAAGTAGCTATGTAGGTGTGAAAGCCAAATTGGAAAACAGAAGCTAGAAGTATGTTCACATTAAATGTGTTTGAGTTTTTCTTTTTCTTTTCTTTCTTTCATTGTTTCTTTCTTTCTCTTTTTTTTTTTAATATGGGAGAAATTTTTGTGCAAAGCCAAAGACAATCTAGTGTAGATAGAAGTCTGGAAACACACGAATCAAGAGATAATTGTTTGGTGCAAGATTCCAGTGGAGATAAGAAGAGAATTTATGTTAGTTGTGGCGAAGAATAAGGATAGTCTTCTCTGAGACAGGACTGATGCAGAAAAGAAAAGATAAATAGATTTTGAAGTGTAAGCACAGAGGTTAAGGAAGGAAGTATATGGTACACAATAGACTCTAAGCTCCATCAAGGTACAGATCACCACTATAGAGTCACCACCAAAAATGTTCCTGGAATGTAAAGGTTCTCAAAAAATGCCACATCAGTGATGGTTCATTACTTCTTAGTGGTAAAGATGTGGTCCTGAGATTATGTAATATGGAAAGATAAGAAATAGATTTGAAATAACTCAAGTAATAAGGAATCAAATTGTAAAAATGTGCAGAATATTCATAAATCCTAGTAGAAGTTTTTAGTAGTCTGTCATTCATTAAGCAACTACTATATGATATATTCAGAGTGCCATGGAAAAATATTACTCTCATTATTTTTCTGATTACAAATCAGTGCTTGTATAATTTGAATATATCTTGCTGAAATTGACCCAAGTAATAAGTAATGGAGCCAGGAATAGACATCCTCTTATATACAACTCCAAATCAGTAATCCCAACCAATGTAAGTTACTTCCTTGTAACCTCAAATCAAAATAGCTACATGACTCTCTCTAAAATCATGTGCATAACAACAACTTAGAAAAAGAAAGGAAATGCTTAGAGCTACTCACTTGGGAATCAGTAATATCTAGAAGAAGATGAA